AATAGTAACAACAATTAGGTAATCATTGGCTGTCGCGGGCCAGATTGATGACAGTAAATCATTGGCTGTCGCGGGCCGGATTGATGACACTGGCGGGCCGGATTTGGCCCGCGGGCCGTAGTTTGGAGACCCCTGTTCTGGTGTGGGAAAAGTGTATTCAATAGATTCATTCAACGCCAGAGGTTCCAATTTTATCTATTGAAATTTTTGTTGTTGTATTCAAAGTATCGGGAACAGATTTCAAATACATAAACCTATTGCGAAAATTATATAAACTTCCATGGAAACACTAGTTCCATGTGAAATTCATTTTTGAGAAAATAATAGAGAATATTTTGCTGATTATATAACACTAAATTTATTATTATGGCAATTTATTGTGCGCATACTTAAGTTATTTAGTGTAATTTCAGAGTTATATTGCATAAAATAATGAAATATAACTTCGAGCGGGTACGGTCCATACTATCTATAACTTTTTATGGCCTCGAACGTAAACATACGAATATTTTATTAACTTACCCATGAAATGTCACACTAAAAAACGCTTTATTTTTGTTTGCACCATCATTAAAACACTAAAACAGAACACTGAACCATATTGATTTCGTAAACCGCACGTTAAATACCTTTTCAGAAGACTCTGACACGCTTTAATTTATCTTACCACAAGTTTACCATACTTCAGTTGTCACTCGGTGATTTGAGTACTTATTCCCTTGGCTTCTAATTCCATGGCTGGAATGGATTTTCAAAAGCTGTGAATATTTCAACATTGCTTAAAGTTTCATCGCTATATTAACTCATATGTAAGGTCACAATTCTAGTAGGGCTCGCTGATCTGCTCCCCGATATATGCGACTCGCATACACTTGTTTGAATTAGTCGAAAGATATTTTTTGAATTATATCAATTACAATATTGATGGAGTTTATCTCGAACGGAGCATTGCAAATGATCTCTTGTTGAAAGATTTTCACTCCTATCACTAGAAAACCGTGGATCCTACCATTCATATATATAACTAATAAACCTCATCAATGTTCCAGTTATTATTCCAATTGTGTTTTTATGTGAATGAATAAATAGATAAATGATGATGAATTAGAAAATTCTAATCCACAAACAAGTGGATTCACATGCGTATGTAACTGACATATCACAATGATTTACACTAAAAAATGTATGTGGCATAATTAACCTGAAAAAGTTATTACAAAAGCGACTTATGATGTATTGGTATCATTGATAGAACTTTCTGTTATATTCATAAAAACAGAAACAAAATTCCCTGTCATAATGACAATGTATAATGTCTATATACAATAAGTTACTTGTGGTAAAATGGTAGCATATCATTGATTCTATCCGATGAATTAGGAAAAGATGAAAAGAAAGTATTTCCAATTTGAGGTAATGCTTTTGGTAACTGTTTATTCAAATTAGGTTTTATTTGAAATGTTTTTTCAATACACTGACACGTTACTTGGTGAAAATCAATAACACTTTTTATGATAATAATTATTAACTGACAGTACCAGTTCAACTGAAGAAATTACTGTTGAAATTAAACATGTATTGGAAATTGAGTTTTTGTTGTGAACATTTTTAATACTTATCATGAATAGAATAAGTGATTCTTATTTAAAGCTATACAAACATTAACTTATACATTACGACTTATACATTATACATTACGACTAATTCTGATCACTCCAGTTGATGGTTCCTAGTTTAAACAATGTCAATATCTTCACATTGAATATTTCAAATTAGTAGTAGTAGACCCTATTATACTTTTTACAAAAGTTTTTGGAGCCAGCGCTATTCGACCCGCTTTATTTTTATACTATGGCCTTAGGTCTCATCAATGTTGCTAGGCTGAACCACAAATACATTGTTGGATTCAACTGTCCAGAACGAACAAGTGAATGTGATGACATCTCTCATTACAAAGACGCCATCTATGGGATCGACAAGAGATTCAATTTTAGAGTATCAAAGATAAACGAGGCTCCCCAAGGCGGCTAGTTGCAAAACTAAGCTTCGACATTTACCGCCGATGATATTCGTCCTTTGTCTTTCATTGCTTACTCAGGCTTGTCTCATAAGAACAGTTGTATCTAGCAATGCATTTGTGGTTCGGTCTAGCATCACTGATGAGATGTATGACGGGTCGAAACAGCGCTGCCTGGTGTTAAATCATAAATGCGTTGTGTTTGCGTTCTGATTTTCAGCAATTTGTTGTTTTGCAATGGAAGACAGGACGAATCTCGTCGGCAGTTGTTCTCGAAGCTTGGCTTTAAAACTGACCGTCTTGGGAAGCCTCAATTATCTTTGATATTCGAAGATTAAGTTCTCTGTCGATCCCATAGATGGCATCTTCGTAACGGTATATTTCATTGCCCTTACTCACTATTAGATAATAATTGTAATATTTCGACAAAGTATGTTATATTGCATTTTTTAAATTTTTAACTTTTCTTGTATTGTCTCATGTTGTAATATCTCTCTCCTGTATATATTTGCGCCTATAAGTCTTTTATTCTGTATATAAAGGCTATTATTATAATGCTATTTTTACTTCATATATCTTTTTAAAAAACCGTATTGGTCTTTGGGTACTAGTTTTTTTTTGTATTAGTGTATGAAGAAGATTTACACCTTTTTCAAGAAAAACTGAAATAGGTACCTATCTCGTGAAAGTTTCATTTTTGATATAGGAAATGTATTATGAAAATGAGTCAAAAACCATCTAGCAATTTTGAAACTATTCTGAAATCCAGGGTGTTCCATTTGAAAAAAAAATGAGTTATGCCCCATTTTTATATCTTCAGAAATGTTTCTCCTGCAAGAGGATGGAATGAAGTATTTTGATGAATCAATAATAGCTTATTTCCGGTATAACCGGAAGTGTCGGAAAAACGTCATTACAGACCACAGGATAAAAATAAGGATTGTAGGATGAGTGACAAAATTAAATTATTGCAAAATAATTAAGTGAATTTATTGTTCTTTATCTATTCAAATGATACTTGATTGTAAGATTTTGACTGAACAGTTCAATACGCCTTTCGCAATACAATAGCTTTTTATAGCATATCTATACATCGGAAAAACGTCATTACAGACCACAGCATAAAAATAAGGATTGTAGGATGAGTGACAAAATTAAATTATTGCAAAATAATTAAGTGAATTTATTATACTTCATTTATTCAAATGATTCTTGATTATAAGATTTTGACTGAACAGTTCAACACGCCTTTCGCTATACAATAGCCTTTAGGGCATATCTACAGCATTATTTACTTACATTTCACTCTCATGCCCTTCATTGTTCCTTTCTTGAGTAACATTCCTTATAGTAAGTTGTTTACTTTCGTCGAATAGATGTGTAATAATAATATTTGAAATTTGACTTTGGCATCAATTTTTGTTTCAGTCGGGATGAAAAATAACTAAAAACTAATCACGTCATTTACATTATCTGCCAACTCATTTTTTTTATTAAAAAGAGGCGCGTAGGTGTTTCACATAGGTAACAATGAGAAACCTTCTACAAGGCATGGTTTACTAATCAATTTTTCATCATTAGAATACGGTTGTTATTTTACTATTTTGCAGGAATTTTGTGAAAAAAAATATGTGGAAATTGTTGTAAAACATATCGGTCAAACACCACATGAAGTATATCTTATATTTCTTTATCGATTTCCTCAATAAATATAGTGTTTGGGGGCCAATAAAACACAACTTGAAATTCAATATTTTATATGAAATTCCACGTGAACAGCAGAGAGTAAGTACTTAATCATTAGGAACATGGAATTTTTCAGTTTCATTGCTACATGAAAATTGATCGATTGAAGAATATTTACAAAAATTGAAATAAATAAAAACTGAATTTCCATCTTTGGTATAAAATTTAAAAAACTCTGAGACGATGTACCTCAAGGCTCTAGTTCAACCCGCCTGAAGCATCCTTCTGGAAGTGCGTTTACTATATCTTCAATGTTCTCAACGTCGGCCCGCAAGATAACTATGTCGTTTTTGTACTGATCAATCAAATTGGCTTGAGAAAAGTGCTCCCTCTGAAGATCCGCAAGTTTTTGCTCGAGTTTGGATGTAATCAATTGTTCCTCAGCCAACCGTAAAGCTTCTTCCAGCCTGTTTATTTCTCCGTCATCGATGTTTGGTGAGTTCTCCAGTTCCGTCATAATCTTCTGGACACTTGATAACAGTTCCACGACTTTGTGGGAAGTTTCGTCCGTGTCCTTTCCAGCCGTTCCAACCTGAAAATAACGCAATATCATCAGATTTATTCAATTCAACGCATCATATTATATAAATATAAGTTGGTTAATGTACGAGTAAGGAGTAATTAATCAAACTTATGATTGATATCTTTGAAATTGACTATTCGACTGCAATGATCCAAAAAAAGTTAATTTCATCCGAACTAGAAAAAATATGATATTATTTCAAATATGTGATGAAACTGACAGATACTTGATAAAAAATTCATACACAAAAAGCGACATCTATTGATCAAAAGCCGAAGTTCTAATGTTCTTTCACATACAGTGCTCAGAAACTATTCAGGAGTTTCTGACACCCTATGATATTGTCAATGTTTGGCTGTCCTGTTACTTCTCAAATGAACGTTATTATTATTGAGGTTTTTGAAAACCTTCCAAAATCTCTTGAAAATTTTGCTATGTTAGTTGATTGAACAACTGTTATTACCTTTTCCTTGGCTTCGTTGACCAGTGACTCATTAGTTTTAGTGTAGTCAAATAGTCCTTGAAGTTTATCCTCCGTGGCCTGAACTCTGTCCCTCATGAGCTCAGAATCTTCGCTCAAAAGGGTTGCATTTCTGAGTAATACACCGGCTTCCTCTTTCACCTTTTCTGCGGCACTTGATGCGTTTTTAGCTAAGACGTCAGCTTGCAGAGCCTTTTCCAGAGCACTGTTGGCGTTATCAGTCGATTCTTTTAGCGATTGCTGTGCTTCAGCCGTTTTCAACATGCTGTCCATGATAATGGCTTCGATGTCTTTGATTGTTTCTAGAGCTTGGTCTGCTTCTAGCTTACTCTTCTGCGTTTCTGAGTCGAAATCTAATACAAAAATTTAAAAGTGTAAAATAAGTAGGATGGTTCGAGATCCCAGAGCTGCCAGAACCAAGTCATTTCAATCAGTACTTTGACAATAAATAATGTAATATATTTTCATGGAATCTTTATGACGATATTCGGCCGAAACTGCTCTTTCATGTAACCAGAAAAAAAATAGAATATGCAGTTGAAATAATAATAATAATGAAGATTCATATGAATTATGTGGTGTTGTAACGTAGATTAATTGTGAAGTTGTAATTAATAAACTTAGTTAAGAAATAAATAAATGTTACTGGAGTTTTTTCCCAACACCAAATCGTTATTTTTACACCTCGGCACGTGTTTCGATCACCAAGTGATCATCTTCAAGAGGAAGATAAAACTGCAGACTCAGTTAACCTCAGAAAATAAATAGTAATAATGACATATTTTACATAACATGTGAATGATTAAATGCATATGTTGGAAACAGATATAAATCCAAGCAATTGGTGCCTAAATTCGAATTGTTTATCACCGAAACATCAATTAGCTCAATAAAAAAAATTTTCTAGCGTTTTCAAATATTCAACTTTATAAGTTTTTTCATTCAACATTCCTACACGATAGGATCTGGCAAATGCCTTTCGGGAAATAACTACTTCCTTTTCCAATACCAGGACATATATTGGGATACATCCCACAGATATCTGTATAAATTTCCTCGAAGAGAAAATTCTTGTGGACGTTTCTCGTAGATCCTGTAGCAGTCCCATACTGAAATCACTCAAGTAGATCGCCTACAGTTTCACAATATTACTCTTCGTCGTACATGAGAAAATATTTTATCGTAGGTCCACTGCTGGTATGAAACCTTCTTCTGAAACTGGAGCCATTTTAACTACAGGAAAGAAGCATCCTCTGTCACAAAACTAGTAGGAATGTTATTAGACGTGAGTGTTTTGAATTTTATTGAAATATTTTTTTAGTCTTGAAACTCGGTCATGATACTGATTTCCTTTCCATTGAATTTTGTCCTATTCTGAAGATCATGTTATTCATCTGACACTAGAATCGACAACAAGCACTGCGTCGAAACGAGATAACAGCAACAATCTTCTCGGCAAAGGTTTGTCCAACCAAGTTGGCGTCTTCAACGCGCGTCAAGAATAGGGTTGCCTTTAGTGTGTTTGGGAGCAGTGTTTGTTTTGGATTCATCATATATCAGAAATTCCAGTTTTACTTTTCGGTTTATGACATTAGAATGCTCAAATTCAAGTGCACATTTTCAATATGACGAGGTGAAAAAAAAATCCTGGATAACTGTGAAAGGTCCCTCAACCTTGCAAATAAACTTGAATTTTATGTAAGTTCGTTTATTAACAAAATGTTAGCTTTGTTGAAATGGCGTAGATCTGGCGGCTCTCTGGTAACTTGGACTGATTTCTAGCTAATGTATACTAGCGATCATTTGTAGATAAACTATTGTACTAACCTTTAAGATCCTTGTAAATACTTTCAGTCTCATTTAAAATGGTGTTCCAACGATTGATGGATTTGTCTGTAACTTCTTTGGTTTCATAGATTCCACTGAGCAACTCATCTGTCTCGTACTGTTGTTCATATGCCTTTTCTAGCAACTCCTTGCCTACTTGATTCTTCTCCTCCACAGCATTTCTCAAACTTTCCGTTTCTCTGAACAAATCATCGGTCTGGTTGGCCAAGCGATAGGCTTCGTCTTGAAGTTGTTCTGATCTAGCTTTTAGCTCTGGAATGTTGATTTGTGGAATTTCTAGGTTCTTAACTTCATTTAATAAGTTCAGAGCGTCAGTCTTTGATCTAGAGGAGAGCTCGACTACTTCTTCTATCCATTCTTTAGTTCTATTCAGTTTATTTTCTGCATCCAGTATGCCGTGCCGCAAATTCCTTGCCTTCTCACTGACCAGTGTTTGATCAAAAGTAGCATTTTTGGCGATGTTGTAGGCCAGTATCGACTTGTTTTTAGCCTCCATTGCAACCTTCTCGATTTCCTCAGCTTCTTCCTCTAGTCGATCCGCTAGTTCTCGAGCTTCCTGCGCAATCTTGGTCATTTTCTCGGATTGTTGTCCAGCCTTCTGAGAACTCTGCAAAGCACTCTCCAACGCCTCTTTGGCCTGTGCATCGAAAGCCAGCTCAGTGTCGGACAGTCTCACTTCTGCTTCTTCCAAGTTTTCTTCGATGTGATCTAGATACATTTCAACGTTGTGGCTCTTATCGCCCACGAGATAGATATTCTCGTCAATTTCGGAAAGGGTTCTAGTTATATCTTTTCCTCTTTCACTTATGTCGTTAACCTTCTGGAACACGCTGTTATCCCCCGTTGCATTCTTCACTTCCTCGTAGAACTCGCTTATCCCACTCCTGAGCTTGTCCAGTTCCTTGGGAAACTCGTCATCAGCTATGACTGTCGGTCGTCTCTCAATTTCGTCCAAAATTTCACTCAACCTCTTCAGTTTGTCGTTGTGGGATCTGTAGGCATTCTGTACCAAGTTGTAGCAATCCGGGCAGTCGATGCAGCCTCGGTGTCTGTCGTATTTGTTTTCTTTGCACCTGTCGCAGCGGCGGCCCTCGACGTTCTCCAGGCAAGGACATTGGCCAAAGGCGTCGCACTGCAAGTCTTTAGAACCGATCACGTCACATTCGCAGTCCTTACAACCGTCGATGGAGAAACCATATTTTCTGGCTTCGCAATGGTCACATCTCAACCTGTAAAAAAAAAAGGCCGTTTGAGCTTTATTGTGTAATAGCAGGTTTATGCCACACACCTCGTGAGACTAAGAACAAAGAAACAAATCAACGAGAACGTTTATGGAAACTTGAACTAAGAACTATGCCTAGAAAGTTGATCAACATTTAACTTAAAGCTTAGGTCAAAACGAAAATGAGCATGCACCAAATTGAAATATTGTCATTGACCTGAGACATTTCAAAAATATTATTTAAAATTTGTAGCTATTACAATAATGGAAAAAATTCAAGTTAAATATAGAATGAAATATAACTGTGGTTATATCAACGTGGCCATAAATTGGGAACTTTCTTTAGGTATAGTCTCAGTTTCTAGTTATTGTATTTAGTTCTTAGGTATTGTTGCATAAACCACTATGAGTTATTTTGGTTTAAATTTTAGTTCAACATAGGACCTAAACTCGATTTGCTCTATTTAGAGTTCTTTATATCATTAGTGACCTATATAAATTACCTAATTGTTCTACGATTACAAATATTATGTTTTGCTTAGATCAGTGGTTCCCAAACTGGGGTACGCGTACCCCATGGGGGTACGCGAAAATTTTTAGGGGGTACGCGGCTGGCCAACAAACCATTAAATTTTAATAGAGGAAAAAAAACTCTGAAATCTAAGGTATACATACGCAAGGTGGACGTGTCCCTAAGTAAAACTTTGATAAACCTCCAGCATATGTTTTGTTACATTCCTTTCGTTTTTGCTGAAATTTTTGTTTTCCATTTTAATGATGACTAAATCAAAATAAAATAAATTCATAAAATGAAATGAATACGAAAACCAAAAGAAAAATTATTTTTTATTATAATGTGAGCGGGATACGGGAGCGCAGAGTCTCAATAGTGAAAAGTGAAGGAAAGAGCAGGTGCGCATTGAGAAGTAAGGGCGAGGTGGGGGGATCGAACGTCAAAAGGAAATTCCTTCCTACCTAGTAAACTACATTGTTAGATTTTTGGATCTGTGTTGGGAGGGAGCACAAAGAACTGTTTCACACTGCTATTTTCTTGTTGGGTTTTGTACCACGTATTTATGTGAGAAAGGGTTCTTAAGTTTAACTTATCTTAAAACTAAATACAGAAATAAATTAAACGGAACTTCAATTTTGTGCATTTAGAAACTTGAGTTTCTAACTACTTGACCATACCACACAGTCTCCTACGGCTCTGAGGAATGATTGATTCTCTACAGCCCCCTACGACTCTAAAGATTGATTCTCAACAGCCCCCTACGACTGTGAGGAGTATATATCTTATAGACTAGAGCTTCGGAAAGAATACACCGAAATATGTCCTGTGGGGTCCAATAAAATCATAAATTAAATGTTGAAGATGACTTGAGATTGTACTTAACCAAGCTATACATATCATGATGAGTCACAGCATTGTTTCAAATGCTAATATTAGTCGAGCCACTATCGGAATCTTACCCAGTAACTCCTGGTCTGCAGTAACACTGCCCAGTCAGTAGATCGCAGCTCTGGTTGAAAGAACCGACGAGGTCGCAGTTGCAAGTTTGACATCCTTCTCCGCTGAGTAAGTTGTAATAACCGTCTTCGCAGAGTTCGCAATCTTTGCCGACTACGTGAGCCTTACAGGTGCAAGTACCGGTGGTTTGGTCGCAGATGGAAGCTCCCGAAGGATCTTCCGCAGTGCCAACAGAGTAACACGTACATGGCTTGCAGTCACCCTTCGGAAGGACCATGGCATTACCAAAGAAGCCTACAAAAACAATTTTAAAGTCAAAGACTCAGTATTTCATAGTGAGTTTTAAGTTTTTGAAATTGGCCCCATCGTGGAACTGGGAATGATAACGAAATGTTGATTGAATTTATTTATTTTTTTGAGGCCGCACCATTCTGAGTAGTGCCAAAAAGCTATATGGAGGACGAGTTACAACGACGAGACAAATAAGGTAAGAGTTTCCAGAGTTGGATCAGAAGAATCTAAGTAACCTACTCACGGAAAACTATCCATTGGAGTATCCTCTCAGTGAGATGGTAGAGATATAAGCTGAGTGACCGTGAAACTACCGCGTATATTAGGCTGAGCGAATGACTTTATAAAAAGAGAGAATAGTTTCCTTATTTTTGTAGGTTATGCTCGTATTCATAATTTTTGAGGGTGGTAGGGGCGATGATGGGAATGCGGTGGTAGTGATGCTGGGGATGTTGGTGGGAGTGGAGAGTCCTTGCGAATGCTCACTCATGATTTGTCCGCACTTTTACTGCGTTGTTCCGATCAGTCCTCTAAGTTGACAGGTACACTAATGGTGCAATGTCGCTAAGAAGTTGTATTCAAGTTCATTTTTGGCCTTCTTGATTACTGGATACCACGTTTTATTGAACACGCTTCTACCCACAATGCTGGTGTTCCAGCCACTCCTCTGGATGCAGTTTCCAGTTTAACGTCATCAATGAATCCAACTCCTTCGGGAGCATACGTAAACTACCGCGTATATTAGGCTGAGCGAATGACTTTATAAAATGAGAGAATAGTTTCCTCATTTCTGTAGGTTATGCTCGTAGTCATAATTTTTGAGGGTGGTAGGGGCGATGATGGGAATGCGGTGGTAGTGATGCTGGGGATGCTGGTGGGAGTGGAGTGTCCTTGCGAATGCTCACTCATGATTTGTCCGGACTTTTACTGCGTTGTTCCGATCGGTCCACAAAGTTGACAGGTACACTAATGGTGCAATGTCGCTAAGAAGTTGTATTCAAGTTCATTTTTGGCCTTCTTGATTACTGGATACCACGTTTTATTGACCCTCGTTTCTTCTTCTTTTCTGTTGACATTGTTGGAATGCTTATACATCTTAATGGCCTCTCTATGGAGTCATGCGTGGTGATGTGTTGTTTTAGATAGGAGAGCAGTTTCTTCGTATTTTTTTTGTGGTCTGTCTTTGCTTAGATATGTTTTACAATTGCGGATTTCTCCAGTTGCATACAGCGGCAGCTGCGCTTGTGTTCTTGTATCCTGGTTTCAATGCTGTGTTTGGTAGATCCGATATAAACTAAGCTACAGAAACAGGGAATCGTTTGAACAACAGCAACAGCAACAGAGGCTTTGGTTTGTTTTTGGCCGAGCTGATATTATTGCGTAGTTGACTAAGGCCTGTAGAGCTTGTTCTAGAATAGTGGCAGTGCTCAGGAAGGTGGTTTGAGTTTTTATTTAGATACCAATTAGTATGAGTAGGTTTACAATAAACTGTGTGACCTAGTTTTCTGACAGTTTGTCTGTTGACCAGTACATCCAAAAATGGGATATTTCATTCGTTTTCCTTTTTATTGTAAACTGAATATGAGGATGAATGGAGTTGATGTGGCGTAGAAACTGTTCTGATGCTTGTCCCCCATGATTCCAAATACCAAAAGCGTCAACAACGTAGCGAAACTAACAGATTGGTTTACGTGGAGCGGTGCTAAAGAAATTTGCAACCACAGAGCTGAGAAATCTTCCCATTGGATCTACATACAAATGGATACCTCATTGTAATCAGCCTTCCTCTGGTAATGCGGGGTTCTGTCAGAGTGACCAACTCTTCCCCTGCTACTCGTGGGAACACACATGAATGAAACAAACACAAAAACAGACACTGAATAAACAAAAACCGATCCCGAGGCTGGACAGAAATGCTCACCTCAATATATGGCGGTGGCTGGGGATGAACAGAAATTTCCACCCCAATCTACCATTTGGAATGAGGCTGAACATGGCAGATCACCTCGTGATATGATATGATACAAAGGCCAAGGCGTAAGCGCATTTGCGGCGCCGAGGCCAAAAGGAGAAAGACAGCGAAGGAGGCAGGAGTGGAAGCAACTAGAAGTGCACTCTCCTCCTTCCCCACTCCACCTCCAACAGCAAGGACACTTTCTACGGCGGGTGGCCCTGCAGGAAAGCGCCCTTACTTGAGCACCTCCACGGAGGGAATCCCAAGAAGGTTGAAGAAGCCGCGTAATAAAAGTAATGTCTCTGCACCTTCCAAAACCTTCACGAAGGCCGCCGTGAGACAGCTCAAGGTTGCCAAAGAGATTGTGTGTTCGGCGAGTCTTGACCTTCATCTGCCGATATAAAGGAGATATCTCCTACTGAACTGTTCACTTTCCTGAAAAGAACAGAATGGACGATGACCCAGGAGGACAACTCCTCGGGAGGATGTACAATGGGTCACATGTGGCCTAAGAGCTGTGGGTCTACACTCACTCTCCCTACTCTACAGATACAGAAGGTAAGAAGTCTCAAAATAACATTTTCAATAATATACCTGGCAAACAAACTTCACACTGATTCCCACCAGTGTTGTGTATGCACCTGAGACACTCTCCAGTCGTGGTGTTGCAGTTGCCGATGGCATTCAAGTCGACGTTGCCGTTACATTTGCATTCTCTGCAAGGAGTTGGTTGCCCAAGTCTTCCCGTTGGATCTCCAAAGTACCCGTCCGAACACAAATCGCATTTGTGGCCAGTGTACCCAGTCGGACATTCGATGCACATGATGTTTTCTTCGTCGACTTGCAGGCAAGCACCACCTTCGGGACAACCGCATGGAAGACAATCGTTTGGAGTTCCTGAAACAAAAAATGTAAATATTCAACGAGAGAATGTAATTGTGACTTTTATTACTACTGATGAACTTGTTACCTCGGGAGTTATCAAATATTATGTGAATTGTCAATTTTTGCAAATATTGAGGAATGTATTCGGACATTTAGAACCTAAATTCAGTTGTTGCTGTGATTTCTTTTCAAACCAGGAGTTTTATTGATAGCTTACAGTTTAACATTCCTAAATTTGATCGCCTTGTCATGCCATAACTTATTATATTACGCAAGAAAAGAAACAGTGATAAAATATACTTACCTCCTAAAGCATTTCCATAGTATCCTCTAGCACAAAGTTCGCAATTTTCTCCAGCAGTGTTATCGTGACATATACATCTGCCAGTTTCCGAATCGCATATGCTCGCGTGATTGTTACAGTCACAGGGAATGCACGGCATGAAAGGACCACCTAAAGCCGGGGTATGTCTAAAACCAGGCGCACATGATTCGCAGAATTGGCCAACGTAACCTGAAAACAATAGATAGTGGAAATGTGTCATTTGAGATTTATAATCTATACTATATTCGTTTCCACCGCAAGCTCGAACGAAACAGTGCTGAACGCGTCATCAGAAGATGTGTCGATTCGTCATTGGAATATGTAGTTTGGCATTGTTTGTAATTGAGTTGTGTCTACCTGCGATAAGTTAATATTGGCTAATTTATGTCCACGTAACTGAAGCTTGTTTCTGTTACAACGGAGCTTGCCTTAGAGTTGAATATAGTATAATGTGAATCATTCCAAAGTAAACTCATTAAGCGACTAAAATTTCAATACCTGAAGGACATTCGCACGCTTCTACCCACAATGCTGGTGTTCCAGCCACTCCTCTGGATGCAGTTTCCAGTTTAACGTCATCAATGAATCCAACTCCTTCGGGAGCATAAGTTCCTTTTATCTTGATGGCGGTCAGGTTGGTCAAAATAGAAATGAAGGATCTTGCTGGAAGTCTCGGTTGCCATCCATAATCGGGGTGTTCGTGTAGACGGAATTTGTACAATTGAGGCTAAATTGAAATAAACAAATACTAACGGTAATATCATTCTTGATGATTTAACTTTTTATTGAATTGGCCATAGTTGAAACATTTAATGATAATAACTGTAATAATTTCAAAAACATACATAGGAATGAAAAACGATAATTAATAATATGTAACAACTATAAAAAATTATTAATACTCAGTAGAACTAAATGAAATTCAAATGTGTTTCATGTTCATTAAATTATTTTCTTCGACATATAGTTCAATAAAAAAAATAATGTTTTTTATATGTTCAGGCAAGCTTTTATAAATTTTTGTTCAAAAGTTTTGTTTAAAAGTTTTTGAATGATTTTATTGTTAGGTAGTCATGACAATCGGTAGAGTGGAGAAAAATGATTATGTTGATTTCAATTTATTGGCCAGTAGGAGTTCATTACAAATCAATCAATCAATCATATCATATCAATTCATCAATCAATACATATCAATACATATTTTCACAATAAAGATGAGACAATGATCCAGAGAAAAATTAAAATTCGAGTTAGTTAAGAACACTGGTAACCTAAATCCCAGTTGGTGATCGTTCATATACGGTGGAATTAAAATATATAATACTGTCTGCAGCTCGATACTTTGTGATTTTTTCAAATATAATCAATCTTTTTAAAAACATTCCGAGTTTATTTCAAAAGTGATATTTCTTCATTTGAATGAGATGTTGATGAAAATTTAAAACAGAACAAGCGTAAAATTAGCGAATTTATTTCATTGTCTGAGAGGATAACATACCTGTAACGTAGGTATTCTGTTTTTCTGGGCAAAAATCGTATTTGTCACAGATACACCTCCTCCTCCTTCCAGGATGATATCAGTAGCAGTTGGTACGGGTCTGTTATCCCCAATCCTCAGCGAAAACTCCAGCAATTGATTGTAGGAAGCCCTCTGATCACCCAAAAATCTATCTGGGGCGACAAAATAAATAGCCTCGTCACCCAAAGCCTGCGCGCCGATGCTTTGGGTAAGGGGATCGTACTTGATTTCAACTTTTCTCTTGAACTCATCTTCTGCGCTCCATCTTTCTGAGCTTTTGGAGAATGACGATTCTAGGAGGTATTTGGAAAATTGGGCAGCGGAACTGCATTGTGCGGAGTGGCCGTAGCAGAAACATGGCGTGCACCCGAAGTAGTTCTCAGAGTTCAAGTTGAAATATCCTGGTTTGCATTCGTTACACTGTTTTCCTTCGACATTCTCCTTGCACTGGCAAATCCCGTCGATGGGATCGCAGTTGGCCTCGTTGTTGAGAGATCCTGAAACGTGGCAGCCGCACGTTTTGCAACCGTTCGATGAGAAGTCGTAGTAGTTCACTTCGCACCTACAAACCAACAAAATTTCGTTACCAAAATAAAAATGACGTCTTAGAGTGAATCACTAGTCAGAGATGCACAGTTACAGATATCAATATTATTAAACAACCTTTTTTTAACATAAAGTCAGCACGGAAATTTGTTCTTACCACTTTTGCACCATTCCTTCACTCATACTTATCATCGGAAACATTTTTTTCAGCTATAATTGAAGTCATTTTCGAATATTCTCATTCTGGATGATTGAGTTATCCAAGAGTAAGATAAACTTGAACCTGTTCATCTCTACAGTAATTGTACCAAGTCTTAGGCTCATTATTAATCTCCAATTGATTCGTTATTTACATCTATACATTTCTCTGAGCGGATATTCAGAATCGCTAACAAAGTATATGAATGTTAGAGTTCCAAATGTTAGTTTTTGTTCACTTTCATCAGGTTGGACATTTTTTTCCTTACCCTTTCAACTGAGATTCGTCAGAAGGACGAATGGTTCATAACGTAAGGTGTTTTGGTGGCAACATAAAGGTCAATGACCTCTATGCCGCTCTGGCCTTGTGTACCCCCTTCTGACTGGGGTATTTGATGAACAAAGGGTTCATTTTAACAGACGTCGTGGGACCTTCACTCAACCGAGCGACGGAGCCTTCTGAATCGAGTGGGGTCGTCTATAATGTAATCTACAGCTTCCTTAACTAATGGGTTATCATGAGTTTCCGCTGACTCGAAAACTCTCTGCTTCCTCGACTGAATGGACTTTCGTATAGTTAACAGCTTCAAATCTCTGTGGATTGGAGCATTCACCAGCATCCTGAGAAGTTTGTTTTGCAACCTTTCCAAAATGGAGAGGTTTGACGGGGCGGTTGATGACAGGCTTGAACATCGTGTTGTATAGTAAAATCTTATTTTTAAGATTGGACTTTGAATTTCTATTGACCAGAGGATAGAGTTTAGCTATCCTCATCTGCACTTTGCTCTTGATATACTCAATGTGATTTGCGCAGGTGAGTCGGTGGTCTACCCAAAGACCTAGGTACTTAACTCGCGTTTGCCATTCGATCTCCCTGCCTGAAATCGTGACCCTTGTGTCTGGAGAAACTTTATGTCTCCCCAAGTCTATCACCTGAGTTTTTTCTGGATTCACCCGAATCTTTCAGTCAAGGTACCAGCGTTCGAGGTCGTCCAAAGCGCGTTGCATGTAGACGACCGCCAACACCCGACCCATGGAAGAAGCGAGGAGAGCCGTATCATCGGCGTAAAGAGAAACCTTCACGTGATTGAACTTCGGAAGGTCGCTCACGTAAAGGCTGTACAGTAGTGGAGACAGCACAGCTCCCTGAGGCACTTCAGCTTAGATTTCCCTGACGGGAGACAGGGTTCCTTCAACTCGGACCTGAAATGTTCTGCCTTTCAGAAAGGATCTAATCCACCGGACCAGATCCCGAGGCAGATCGAAATTGAGCATTTTGTGTAGCAGGCCTTCGTGCCAGACTCGGACGAAGGCTTTCGATTCATTGTTTCTGTAGCAGTATTACTTTGTTTTCTTTCTGATTTTGTACCAGCAGAAGTCCTTTCCCTTCCATCTACTTTTCTTTCAGTAGTTCTTTGTCTTTCTTTTGATTTTCTACCAGCACTTAAATGAGTTATCTTGTCCTAATTTTTTTCTTTTAGTTTTCATTATCACTATTTTTCAGATTGACTCAACCCTTCATTTAATTAGTTCACAGCTCAAACCCAATCTAGACGATTCGGGAATGAATTTTAATAAACGAGATGATGTGTTTTGAAAGTGGGACCGAAACATCTTAATATCATCTGTGAATTATCAAGTTAGATTAAGGTGTTTATTAGAGTGGAATAACGATGGTATGCCTACAGATTCAAAACAGAATGAGTTTAAAAAATGCAAATAAAAACTAGAAGTCTATGAGGAAGATATTGTAATTGTCTTCAATTTTCGTCCTGGATATCAAATTCTACATTGAATGAAAATTATGCCACTGAGCGTTACTAACCTGTCGCATTTTTCTCCACTAACTCCTGGTTTACACTGACACTTTCCCTCTGCGTTACATTGGAGACTTCTTGAACCGACAGCGTGGCAGTCACACGGTATGCAATAACCATCTTCCCTCATATAGTAATTGTCTCTACATCTTTCACAGTTCGGTCCATCTCGATTAGCAGCACAGTCCAAACAATGACCACCGTGTCCTGTTTGTTCGTAAAGTTTCTCGTTGAAATAACATCGGTTGGAATATCCGTTGCAGTTACATTCTGTAAAAAAATAATTAGTTGAGTAAGTCATCTCAATATCAGAATGGATGAAAATATCTGAAAAGAACTGTAGGAGAAGAAAGTAGGAATGTTTCCTACTTATTCACCAAACTCAAACAATTGTTCCTGCAGTTGCAGTTTCGTAAGAATGTATTATCTTTCCCACCAACCGATTTCCTGGAATCTTGGGGTTCTTGTTGAATATTCTTCGTGAGCAAAAAAATAGCAGAATTAATACTCCTGACCGCTCTAGATTGAATGATTCCGTGGTCAAAGACGAAACGGACTGGTTTAAGTTTGATGATAGTCGTGTCACTAAGTGTTCTGGCGATGTTTTGAATTTATTGGAGCCTCTGGAGACACCCTACATTTTGTTTTATGGGAGAGAGGACATTTGCAAATCAAGATCTTCAGATGATGTGGTGCTGTTCCGGGTTTTCCTGCAGCTGATAAAGCAAATGCGCCACTGGAATCAATGAAGTCGCCCCGGAGGACCAATTAATTTTTGTTGTTGTTTCATAATTTCATGATTTGTATCAATAAGTGAATAGTAACTTTTAGTAGTCGTAAAACATTTAAAGATATTTCTGTGTATTGAATAATTCCATAACATCTGCACCAATGAATATCATGAGGTTCTAAGGTTTCAACATTCAGTGCGGAGATTATTAAATTAGAGAACTATAAGATCTTCCAACAGGGACTTCCGAACTTTGACAATTGATAACGGCCATCTTGTTGAAGCTACATCTGTTAAATTAGTTGTCATGTTTTTAAATTGTTTTGCCAAATCACCACGGATGGATGCAGAATTCAACAACACGTGCAAATAACAAAATTGTTTTATCAAAATGATTGTTCTGTTCAGGCAACGTACCGCGCTCTTCGCCCATAATCGTCCTACTGAGAGGATTATTCGCAATGTGGTAAATAAATTTGAGACCATTGGTTTAGTAAACTATCAACCAACACTCATACGTCGACGAAACGCAAGATCTGCCGGAAACATCGCCGCCCTCTGTTAGAGTGTGCAAGAGAATTCTAGGCAGTCGATTTCCCGTCGCTCGCAAGAACTCGGCTTTTCGCAGACCACAACTTGGCAAATTTTGCGTCGTGACTTGGGCCTACACCCGTACAAAATTCAACTGACCCAGGAATTGAAGTAAACGACCATAGACTCTGGAGCAGTTGGCAACTGACCCTAATTTTCATCGAAAAATAATCTTCAGCGATGAGGCCTATTTCTGATGAATAGGTACCTACGTGAAAAAACAAAATTGTCGAATTTGGAACGATTCCAATCCGCACCGTCCAATGCACCCCGAAAAAGTCACTGTTTGGTTTGGATTTTGGTCTGGCGGTGTCATCGGTCCATATTTCTTCGGTCGGTATCCGGTCGGTTCGACCGGATACCGACCGGATACCGTGAACCACCGTGAACCACCGTGAACCACCGACCGCCGTGTTGGTCGGTGGTTCAAGCCACAGGCTGAACGATCGATTTTCACTTGTTATCGTCTAACCCATGTTAGGAATCACACGTTGAAAGGTAAGACCTCGTTAGTCCTTAGCTCACACAAGTTTCGACTTCTGAGGGTTGCCGTAGGGATGCGACAGCTGGTTAACGGAAAAAACAACAACAACAACATATCAATGAGGTTACGTACAGCGCCATCTGCCCGCGAATAGATCAAGCAATAATGTCGATAATTCTCTCAAATAAAGATCCCGATATACAGGTGAAGCTAATATAAAGCGTGTAATAATAAAAACAATTGAATATCGCATTTTAGATTTATTTCGAAAACGATTGCCATTTCTTTTCGAAATTTAAAGGGTTATTATGAAGGTTTCGTCAAGTTTGCCATGAAATACAAAATTGAAAGAAAATAATAATACATATCGGTTGCGATATTTGTTATTCAACTTTAAAGTACGAAATCAACGTTTTTTGTTTTTGACTCGTCTTGGAAGGCGGTGTGAAACAATCAATTTAATCATTTTAATGTTCATGCAATCTCTCTCATAAGTCGTTGATTTTCGTGTTAGTTCGTTACTAATTTAGAAAAATGTGATATGCCTGAAGAATACATAGTGTGTTGAAAAAATGCCGACGGTATTTTTAAATGATATTAATGTTATGTTTCCATAAAGGATGAATTCAGATCGAAGATATTTTCTAATATCATACAGAAAATTCAGGTGAAATGAAAGGGTTTTTTTCCAAGAGTACAAGTCAAAGAAAACATTTGTAATGGACGGAAATGAATGTGCTAGTTTAATTTGAAGCAAATCGTAAAAATTCCATAGAGATTGCGTGAGAGCCAGTGTCAGTGTTTCGGAACTATTCAGAATATTTTGAAAAAAAACATGAGCTCGTATCGTATAAATGAATACAGACCCACGCAGTGCTTTTTACCAGCTGATCAAGAAAGACGAATGTCATTTTGCCGATGCTTTATGAATGCTAGAAACGCTAATTCTGATTTCCTAATACTAATTCTATGGAATCTAATTTTAGTAATAGGGTCATGTATAACCGGAAAATCCGTCATTACTGGAGTAATGAGAACCTTATGCGAAATATTCCATGTAATCCACAGGTACACTTTAGCATAAATGTATGGTGCGGTCTTGTTGGGTGAAAAATCATTGGGCCAGTTTTTACGATGGTACTTCCACAGGTGAGTGTTATCTGGAGTGTTATTGGAATAATTTTTTGATAATTTCAACTTAGCTGATCGCCAAAGAGTATCTTTCAGCAAGACGATGTGCCTCTATACAACCATATATTCTTAAAGCTTGCAACGACTAGTTGAGTGAACCTTTACTTCAAAAGTGTTTCCTTTGTTTCTTTTGATGGCCACAGTCATTCCAATACTTGAATCTGCAAACCGAATAGATATAGAAAATAATAGGTGCATTTCTCTTATAAGTGCATCATCTGAATTATTTGAACATTTAATTCACGTTGAAATGTATCAGCATGTTGAGAAATATGTTATTTAATAAAATCTGTTTAAAATATGTTTTTCCGTTAATCAGCTGTCGCCCCTATACTAAGGACAACTCTCAGAAGTTGAGAAACTTGTGCGAGCTAAGGACTAACGAGGTCTTACCTTTTCAACGTGTGATTCCTGACACGGTTGCAGAATTATTCCAGCTTCAACCAGATGAATTCTCTAGAGAAAAATATCGAGGTCGAGGCAGGAATCGAACCCACGGTCTCCCGATCGTGAGTCGGGCGCACTACCACCGCGGCCAATTCCACAACATGGTTTTGTACCTGGCAAGCCTATAGTTACTAATTAATTTCTTTTTACTAATCTTACATATGACATATTGGAATCAAAGTGACAATTAGATGTAGTATTGACAGACTTCCAAAAGACATCTGATAAAGTTGATCATGATGTTCTCCTCAATAGTTTTGGGTTGGCGGATAGTTCTCGAAATGATAAAAAATTACTCAGTAGATAGGTCTTTCATTGTTGAACACGATTGTAATTCTTCTAAAAAGTTTTGTGTCAATCCGGGGGTCCCTCAGGGCCCCAATCTTGGACCCCTCCTTTTCATTATGATTTGTATTCGCTACTTCATTACTCAGATTGCTTGCTGTTTGCAGATGACTTGAAGATTCTTAAATATATAAAAATGTTAGAGTCTGCATCACAAAAAGATCTACATGATGTTCATAGGTCTATTGAATTTGAATATATAATGAATGGAGAAACACTTTAGAGTTGCCAAGAGGTCAAGGATTTAGGTGTAACATATAATAATGTCTTGTCGTTTGTAAGTCATATTCATGAAATAATAAGTTCTTCAAATCGTATGTTGGAATACTTAATAAGACAAACTAAACACTTCAAAAATATAAATACAATCAAGTGACTTTAATACACACTGGTTCGACCTAAATTAGAATTTGCTTTAATAATATGGATAAGTGAAAGTCGGAAAATACTTCAGAAGAATGGAAAATATAATAGAACTCGAACACTATCTATGTTCCATACATCTCCCTTGGTAACAACTCGAAACATGGTCGACTTGCCAACACCTTCAATGCAATGATTGATTTGTATTGGACTTTTTCACAAAGTGAAATGAGAAACATTTCCTTGCATTATATCTTGGATATGAATGTACAATGCTTTTTGGTTTTCTGTTACTGCATTATGCGTATTGTAAATATCAAGCTTCAAGTTAGATTTAATTTATCCATGTAATGAAACCGATTAGGTCTGTTTAGATATGAATAAATAAAAGAATAAATGCATATATAAATACTTCAAACGATAATATTTTTCCATTTACTTTTTGAATGATCGTTTCATTGCTACTAGAGAACCAGTTCTTCTGCCTTTCCGTTTCCCGGAAATTACATCTAGTGATTTATATTTCTAGAGATTTTATTTCTCCATACTGTTTTGAAGGCTACCAGAAAGGTTTTGAAGTGTGCCCAAAAATGTATTGAGCAAATTGTGTATGAACATTAATTTAATTTTATGGAATAATTCAAACAATGAATATTGCAACCGATATGTATTATTTTGTCTTAATTTCAAATTTCATAGCAAACTTGATGAAAAATGAAAAAGACACACAACTACGTTATTTTTGTTTTTGGGATAAAATTCATAATGACCTTTAAGACTTGGCAATTGATCACAGGGTGTCTCATTAAGAATTGAAATTTTTGAAATGCATCGGAAACGCAATGTTCAGTTGTTTTTGTGTTAGTACTACGTTGATTAGCGGAAAAACACTACTGGTTCTGTATTTTTTCCGAACCCGTATGTTCAATAGTGAAAAAGTTAGCAATAGTGCCGACTTTTTTTGATCGCACTGTATATTGATTATGTTTTAGTTGTTTGGAAAGCCAAGAACCAAATAAAGGACCTAATTTTTATTCATTACTGAACACTTTCGAGAAATAAAATAACTGAGGATATTATCAGATCTTCCAAAATTATAGTTCATTTACTTAAAGGCGA